TCGTCGCGGGGGGCCGCCAGGGGTGGGGGGGGCCTTCCAGGGCTGGGCGGGTGTCAGCGCCAGCGCCCCGAGCTCTCGAGGTCCTCGACGCCGCGGCGTGGGCGCCGCGGTCTGCTTGGCATCGCTCGCGCGCGTGCACTCGTCCTCTGCCGTTCGTTCTCCTCCTCCTCGCCCTTCGTATTCCTCCTCCGCCTCCTCCTCAATCCTCCTTCTCCTCGTCCTCGTCCTCCTCATCGTCCTCCTCCTCGTCCTCGTCCTTCTGTTTCTCCTCCTCCTCCTCTTCCGCCTCCGCTTCCGCCTCCCATTATCAGGCGACCCGCGGGCGCTGCTGCGTGGAGCGTCGTCGTCGTCCTCCTCCGCCTCCTTCTCCTCCTGCTCCTTTCTTTGGCAAGTCGCGGGCGCCACTGCGTGGAGAGTCAGTCCTCCTCCTCCTCATCCTCATCCTCTTCCTCCTCTTCCTCCTCCTCCTCCTCTTCCTCCTCCTCTTCCTCCTCCGTCCCCCTCTTCTGTGCCATCCTCTGCTGGTGTGTCTTTGTCCTCTGTGTCCTCCTCTGCTTGGTATCGCTCGGACGTGTACATTCATCTTCGGCCGGGCCAACGCCATACATCGAAGAACAATAAACGGCAAAAACATATTTTCCTGAAGGTCCGCACGGATTCCTTAGAACGGCGTTGGGCCCACTTGGCGTGGCCTCCAACGCCGCCCCTGGCGCGCTCCGCGCGCCAGAGAGGGGAGTCCAGCGCCGGTCCAAGAAATCCTCGTGGACCTCAGAGGAATTTTGGTCATGTCGTATATTGTTGCTCTCGGAAAATAGCATGTTGGACCGTCTTGAGAACACAGTTGCCCATCCTCTTCCTTCTCTTCTTCTCTTCCCCCTCCTTGCCACCCGTGGCTGTTGCGTTGCGTGGTGGCCTCCAGTTTCCCCGATTGGGGAAGCGACCAGCTCCATCATCCCAGCAGCGCGCACATGGAGAAGTCTGGACCTTTTGCTGACTTTTGGTCGGTTGAAAATTTTGTTCTCGAAATTGAACCATTCGTTAGAGCTCTAGTATTTTTTCCCGTGATATTCGATCTTATTCCCGCTCGCCATCTTGATCTCAGCTCGATCGGGTACCTTTTACTGCTGAAAGCGTCCAGGCGAACGACAGCAAACCCCGCGCGAGCAAGCAGTGCACGGGGAAGACGGCTGCCCGAGCGCCGGCGAGCCCGGCCCCCCGTGGCCCGAGGCCTGGCCCGGAGGGCAGGGCCCGCAGGCTCGCGTCCTCCTGTCCGGGTGGCGGGATGATGATGATGATGATGAGGAGGAGGAGGAGGAGGAGGAGGAGGAGGAGGAGGAGGGGGCGGGGGGCGCGGGGCTCTCCGCGGGGCTCCCAGGGGCGCCGCGTGCGGCACGGGACGGTTTCGGGGGGGAGGGGCGAGGGAGGGCACGGGTCAGGAGCGAAAAAAGGACGTACATGTACATGAATCCACGCTGGTTTCGAGAGCACGCATTGCACAAAGGTTCGTATCACGCGGCCGGTCTCGCGAATCGAGGGGCCGTGTTCATGTACATAGCTGGGCGCGTACGTCCTTTGTGGGCTCCCTAACGGGCACAGGTGCGGAGGAGGCGGGGCGGAGGGGCGGAGCTGGGGAGAGGGGGGGGGGGGGCAGGGGCGGGGGGAGGGGGCGGGGAGTCGGAGTTGGGGCGGATGGGGGCGGGGAGGGGCGGAGTGGGGAGGAGGGCGGGAGGGGGGGCGGTGCCGGGGCTCTCCGCGGGGCTCTGAGGGGCGCCGCATGCGGCACGGGGCAGTTTCGGGGGAGGGATCCGCAGCACAGGGAGGACAAGTGGGAGGGATGGGCGGAGGGACGGAGTTGGGGGCGGAGGAAGGAGGAGGGGGGAACAGAACCGAGGAGAGGAGTCCCCCCACTTCGCGCCGATGTTTCGCCACCGCGCTGCGGGGGCGCCGCGGCTATGGGACCTCGACGTCCTGGACGCCATGGAGCCCCTGCAAACGCTCGGGAGCGCCAAGAAGGCCGCCTGGGCAGCCCTCTGCTGATGTCGCTGCTGCCTGCTACCCGATCCCCTTCCCTTCTCTCTTCGTCCTCCCTCCTCCCTGCCTGCTCGCCGCCGCCACCCTCTCTCCTGCGTCCCTGCTCCTGCTCATGTCCGTCTCCTCCTCCCCGGACTCTCCTGCTGCTGCTCTTGCTGCCACTGCTCCTCGTCCTCCCCCGAGCATGTGTGCTCAACTGTGGGGCCAGGCAGGCCGGGCCAGACAGAGGCGCTGGGCACACAAAGTGCGAGCAGAAGATCTTGCGATCTTGAGAAAGCCGGCGGGAAAACAAGAGTGATCATGAGTACGCGCCCGTGTTGTACTCGGCTCGTGGACCTCTCTCGCTCTCCACGGCCCAAGCGCACAATGAGGGTGCACAGCTCTGAAAGGGAACCCTTGCATGCTTGCCCCCCGCGGCTCGTCCTCAGGAGTTTCCATCTCGAAAGGATTGAGCTGGATCGTTCAGGGGCCATGCATCCTTATCGCACGTCTTTGTGATCTGGTCTCGGCGGCGCTTGGGGTGGAAGTGAGAGGAGGCGGGCCTTCTCAGAAGGCGGCGGAGCTTCTCAGAAGCCCTCCCGCCTCCTCAGAAGCTGCCGCCTGCGCCTCCGGAGAAGCCCCAGAACACCTTCCAGACGGCCCGAGGCCCTCCAGCAGCCTTCTGCGAAGGCCCGCCCCCCCTTCTGCGTTCCCCCCTGGGTCAGAGCGTGAATCACCTCCCCCGCCTTCGCTTCCAGGCAAAACCAGGCCATACCGCGCGCCTCCTCGCCACGCGGCCTGACCAGTACCGGCCCTAGCAGGGCATCTCCTCGCCACCTCGCCACTCGCACTCCTCGCCACTCCTGGTACCAGTACGCGCCTCCTCGCCACTTGGCATCGCTTGGCATCTCTTGAGAGCGAGGGAGGGTCAAAAGCGAGGTAGGTCTGTTTGCCTCCTGCTGGGCTCGCCGCCGAGGCTCGCGCTGCATCGGGGCCGCTAGGGGGCCTCCCGCCCGCGCTCGCGCGCGAGCGCGGGCGCGCCCGGCCGACGGCGCCCGAGGGCACCGGCCGGGCGCCGGCGGTCTGCGTCGGCCTCGGCCCGCAGGGGCAGCGCGTCGGCGAGGCGGCGCGGGGCGTGTCTCGAGGAGCCGCTCGCCCCCTGCCCAGGTGGCCACCGTCGGAGCGGGCGCCCCGCCCATCCTCGCCACCCCCGTGCGCCCTCCTCCTCCCTTCCCCTCGCCCTCGCCCTGCGCTTCCCCCCCTCCGCACCCGATGCCCCCCCCCGTCCCCTCGTCTCCCCTGCTCTCTCACTCCGCCGCTCGTTTACTGACCCCTTCGCACTCCTGGACCCCTTGCCGAGGCGAAGACCAAAGGGAAGAAGAAGACGAAGCCGCGCGCCACCAAGGCGCATGACGCGCCTGTGATGTGTCTGCACGGCAGCCCCTTCAACCGGAGCGTCCTGGCCACGCGCTCTCTTCGTTAGGGCTCGTTTGCTCTGTCTCTGTTGTTCGTTCCCGCGTCGATTCTCAACGGACCCATTTGGATACTGTCAACGCTTACCCGATCCACCTTTTCTTCCTCCAGCAGCGGCTCATGTGTATGAATTGCGGAACCAGTTCTACAAGGCTATTACTATATTCACATTATTGATGCGCTCCCACTGCTCACAGCCCATCACCTGCTACCAGCTGTCTTCCCGGTGTTGAATGCTACCTGCCATCCTGCTACTTCGCTGCCGACTATTGCTACCGATATTGTCGCAGTTTTGTAATTCCCCTCCTTGTGCGATTCACACGGCGGCGATGACGATTGTGGTGATGGTGATGGTGAGGATGGTGATGGTGATGGTAATGATGACGACGACGTCGATGACTATGCTGCTGCTGCTGATGATGATGATGATTATGTTGATGAGGATGATGATGATCATGACGATGATGACGGTGTTGATGATGATGATGATGATGATGATGATGATGGTGATGATGATGATGATGATGAGGAGCATGATGATGATGATGAGGAGGATGATGATGATGACAATGCTGACAATGCTGACGATGATGATTGTGATGATTGTGATGATGATGACGATGATGATGACGATCATGATGATGACGATGATGATGAGTATGATTAGGATGATGGTGGTGGTGGTGATGATGGTGAGGGTGATGCTGTTAGTCATGCTAATTCTGGAGCTGATGCTGATGCTGATTATGATGGCGATGCTGTTATTTAATCGCTTCCCTCATTCCGCCGGCCCATGATGAGGCACCGCGGTCGATTGGGCGAGAGGTCGTCGGCTGTGCGAAGCTGCAGGGGTCGGCTGCAGGAGGCGTTGCGTTCGGGATGGTGGTGTTGAAGCTGCCCCCGCGAAACAGCTTCGTGTCGACCTTCTGAGGAGGTGTCGGGGGAATCGTTGTTTCCACGGGGCTTCTAGATAGTGCCGCTCTGGGGTGTCCCTGGCGCCTTTGTGGGGGCTCATTGCTCGTGGACGCTCATGCGGGGGCCATGAACACACTGTAACTGTTGCGACAGGTATGCCCCTCGACGTGAGAGGGAAAAGGGAGAAAGAGAGAGAGAGAGAGAGTGGCGGCTCTTGGGGCCTCTTGGGGGCCTCTTGGGGCGTCCTGGATGCCTCTTGGAGCGGAAGGCTCGGATTTTCGGTTCGTGGTCTCCATCTTGGGCTCCTCTTGGGGCCCTCTTGGGCCGTCTTGGGCGCCTTTGGGGCTGTCTTGAAGCTCTCTTGGGCGGTCTTGGGGCTCTCTTGGGGTCCTCTTGGGCCATCTTGGGGTGGTCTTGGGGGCTTCTTGGGGGCCTCTTGGGCCGTCTTGGAGTGTCGGAAACGTTGCCTCTTGGGGCTCCGTTTGGGAGCCTTTTGGGGTCTCTTTCGGGCCTCTTGGCGCCTATTGGGGCCTCTTGGGGCGTCCTGGAGGCCTCTTGGAGCGGAAGGCTCGGATTTTCGGTTCGTGGTCTCCATCTTGGGC